CGTTACTCTGTTGTTTTCTCTCTAAACCGTCACTGACTTGAGCGTCGGAGTGTTCGCGCCGGGACCACCCCCGGCGTGCTTTGCAGGTACCGACGATCGAGGAGACGCAACCCGGTTCGAGAGGAGCGGTCCAACGGTTCAAGTATTTGTGGTATAACACTACTGCTAAATATTTCTTCACATTACAATTCGCTACTATTATTTATATCTAGACATGGCCACAGGTTGGCCCGACCCGTGGACCAGCCCGTGAACCGCCCCGAAACCGGCCCGCCCTAACCAGTTTTTGAACCGACCCATAACCTCTTAAGGGACGGGTCATGTTGTACTCATTTTTTACCTGTCGGGTCGGGGCGGGCCAGTTCTGGGTCCGGGTTTTTTGACGGGTCACGGTTATGATTTTATTTTTTTATTTTTTTTAGAATCGGTGGTTCATTAGGCCGGGCCGGATACGGGCCTATGATTTCAGACCCGCCAACCCGGCGGGGCGGGGTGGGTCGGGCCGTGAACCGGCCCGAGCTTTGGCCAAGTCTATAATTATATCACAGTATTTACATAAACTAATTGCTACTTCACTAACATTTTTTACCAACAAAATTTACAGATCACATGAAGAACATGCAAAATCCCTTTAGCTGTTCATGTCATGAACATGATCCATTTTATGATAAGAACTAAAATAGACTTTGATTGGCCCCAAAATTGTAAAAACCCAACAGTCATATGTTGCGTAAATTGCCATTCTTATGATAAAGCAGACAAATAAATGAAAAACAGAATGTTGTACGTTCTTATCAATTTCACCACCGCAAGAACGTACGCACATGTCTATCGCCGTGTTCAATTTTGTTGGCTTCTTTTTTGGCACAATGTAGCGTGTACAACTAATGTATTAAAACTAAAGTAATAAAAATAAATTGTTATTCGTCTTCACTAAAAAAAAAAAAATAAAAAATAAATTATATGTTAATTTATTCTAACGAAAATATTCCATTCGAATGTGTTTTTCTTTAAAATTTTAGAGGAAATTTGATGATTTCAACTGCTTTTTTATAGTAGGAATTTCCTTTGAAATTTTTATTTTCACCCCTGTTGAAAAATCAACAGTTGGAATTATCAAGATCCAGCGGAAATTCCAATCAAACTCCTTCCAACATAATATTTTTGTTGGAATTTCCGTTGAAATGTATTGAAAAAATTCAACGGAAATAATAGCATCGAAAAATATCCATTGTTATTCATCTTCACTACAATAAAATTATTATATTCCAACGAAAAATTTTAAGTTAATTTATTCCAATAGATATTCCAATAGTATAGCTTCCGTTTGAATGATTCGAACGGAAATTTCAACGAAAATATTCCGTTCGAATGTGTTTTTCATTGAAATTTTAGATGAAATTTGATGATTTCAACGACTTTTTATAGTAGGAATTTCTATTGGGATATGCAATTTCCGTTGGAATTTTTATTTTCACCCCTGTTGGAAAATCTACAGTTTGAATCGTCAAAATCCAATGAAAATTCCAATGAAAAATTCTTCCAACAGAATATTTCTGTTAGAATTTCCGTTGAAATCTATTGAAAAAATCCAACAGAAATAATAGCGTCGAAAAATATCTATTAAAATTGTCGTTTGAATTCTCTTTAAATATATTTTCATTGAAATTTCATCATATTCTTATAGTGTTTCTATTATGTTTGTATTGAGTTAATTAAAGAAGTCGACTCGGCTCATGTCATAAAAGAAGAAAAGATACAAGCTCGAGCTCAGTTTGTTATATATGAGCTCATATAAGCTCGGATCGTCCTGCTTAATGAACTCGTGTATAAACCTAAAACCCAAAAGCCCACAAGAGCTATTTCTAGACATACTCGAATTGGCCCGTTTTATGAAAAAGCTTCATTAATTAATTTCATGTAATAATATCAATTCACACAGTAATGCTAAGGAACCAACAGCCAATGGACAACTTCATGTGGAGTTGTCCCACATTGGAGCCATGTGGGATTGTCCCACATGGAGCTGTCCCATTGGCCGTTGGCTCCATAACAGAGCCAACAATTGACTCCTTAGCATTATTGTCAATTCACAATCTAAAGTCACCCCCAATTGTTTTCCTCCTAAAAGAATTAATGAAATGCAACCGTAATCCCTAGTTTTCAGGTGAGTTTTGGCTTGGATTAGAAGGGATAAGGGGCAAATTGCCATCATTTTTTTGTCTCAATTAGTCTACAAAAGTTACAATCAAGCAATAATCATGAGCAAATCAAGGATCTCATTAATTCATGTTTGTTTAATTTATCCAGTTTCATTAAAATGAAGCCTGATTGCTGTCAAGACAACACATACATTATAAATTGGGGGAGATTCTACGGTTCCGTTACGGAACCATTTCGTCGGGCTTTGTAACCGTTAGATCAACTATCCACGACGATTATATGATGATCTAACTGTTACAAATCTCGACAGAATGATTCAGTAACGGGACTGTAGTATTTTCCCAATAAATTAATTCAATCATCGTATATTGTAGCTGTCACATAGTTGGAACAATACATAAATTATAGTATTCACTATAAAATTAAAAAGTCAAATTTCATTTTCTTTTTTTTTTTTTTGGTTTCCCATTAGAAATTCAATCAAGTAGAGGACAAGCACATGGTTCTCTACTGGCATAAAATTTCTAAACTGTTATTAATGTTTTCTCATATTCCTTAGTTGTTACAACTAATATTCTTAAGCTGTTATTAATGTTTTCCCATATCCCATTAAAAATATTTTTATTCATTTTATGAAAAAATAAAAAATAAAATCACTTGCTCATGGTCCATTTGCTAGCATCCTAGGCATAGAAGAATTTAGGCCAATTATTGTCCCAATCTAGGTCGTTTTGGCCTTGTTTAATTAGGGTTTTATATTAGAGAAATTTACTCATGTTACTATGGTTTTGTTAAATATTATTAAATATTATTATTAATACGAAGTCAATAACTTTTAATTATAAATACGTTTTCTTAAACAACTACCCACTACACACATAATTAATGATGATTTACTCTCTTGCATGAATATCGGGAAGCATGATAATCATATTCTTTCTACACTCAACTATAAAACAAGAAAAAAATATGTTTTTCTCTCTCCATATCTTGGCTCTCGTGTATCCTCCTCACAAGGAACCAAAAATACTCCATCTCCCCCAAACACACAAATAAACTTATCCTGAAATTGAAGCTCCGAGTCGTTCCAAAAAAAACTAAATC